TGCTCTGTGTCAGTGTGTATCAGGAACCTTAGGACAGGTGTCAATCCATATCTGCCAAGTGACCCGATGTAGGGGGAACAGTCCCTATTCTGCTCTGTGTCAGTGTGTATCAGGGATCCTTAGGACAGGTGTCAATCCATATCTGCCAAGTGACCCGATGTTGGGGTAGCATTCCCTATTCTGATCTGTGTGAGTGTGTATCAGGGGCTCTGAGGACAGGTGTCAATCCATATCTGCCAAGTGACCCTATGTTGGGGTAGCATTCCCTATTCTGATCTGTGTCAGTGTATCAGGGGCTCTGAGGACAGGTGTCAATCCATATCTGCCAAGTGACCCGATGTAGGAGGAACAGTCCCTATTCTGATCTGTGTCAGTGTGTAGTAGGGATCTCGCTTAGGACGAGGTGTCAATCCATATCTGCCAAGTGACCCGATGTAGGAGGAACAGTCCTATTCTGCTCTGTGTCAGTGTGTATTAGGGATCCTTAGGATAGGTGTCAATCCATATCTGCCAAGTGACCCTATGTAGGGGGAACAGTCCCTATTCTGCTCTGTGTCAGTGTGTCAGGGATCCTTAGGATAGGTGTCAATCCATACCTGCCAAGTGACCCTATGTAGGGGGAACAGTCCCTATTCTGCTCTGTGTCAGTGTGTATCAGGGATACTTAGGACAGGTGTCAATCCATATCTGCCAAGTGACCCTATGTAGGGGGAACAGTCCCTATTCTGCTCTGTGTCAGTGTGTATCAGGGATACTTAGGACAGGTGTCAATCCATATCTGCCAATTGACCCTATGTAGGGGTAACATTCCCTATTCTGATCTGTGTCAGTGTATCAGGGATCCTTAGGACAGGTGTCAATCCATATCTGCCAAGTGACCCCTATGTTGGGGTAACATTCCCCTATTCTGATCTGTGTCAGTGTGTATCAGGGGCTCTGAGGACAGGTGTCAATCCATATCTGCCAAGTGACCTATGTAGGAGGAACAGTCCCTATTCTGCTCTGTGTCAGTGTGTATCAGGGGAACCTTAAGACAGGTGTCCAATCCCTTATCTGCCAAGTAGGCCGATGTAGGAGGAACAGTCCCTATTCTGCTCTGTGTCAGGGATCCTTAGGACGGGTGTCAATCCATATCTGCCAAGTGACCCGATGTAGGAGGAACAGTCCCTATTCTGCTCTGTGTCAGTGTGTATCAGGGATCCCTAGGACAGGTGTCATCCATATCTGCCAAGTGACCCTATGTAAAAAAGGCCTGATGAGATGAGCTGCCTTGGGCTAAAAATGGTCCACACGCTGCTGTATTTTAGCTCTGAATGCCTGTTGACTTCCGTGACTTATCCGCCACCAACTTGGGTTCAAGCCGCCAGTGTGTACTTTATAAATGGCTTTATAAAGCAGTGTGTACTTTATAAATGGCTCCACCTGCCACCCGTACAGCAACACAGTCTCCAGTTAGGAGGACCAACCAAGCATCTTCTTCCATCTGCCTGTTACAGAAATTACTGCGTGTACACGACCACTGATAGGAGCGGAAGGTATTAAACTGATAAAAATAGTACTAAACACACACCACTTTTCCTATCTGGTGTCACAGTAGAAACTGACAGCGCGAACCCCAAATTTGCAGTAAGAGGACCCGACCAAGCCTCTTCTTCCATCTCCCTGTTACAAAAGTAATGCAGTGTACCGTCCACTGATAGGAGGCGGAAGGTATTAAACTGATAAAAATAGTACTAAACACTCCACTCCTATCTGGTGTCACATTAGCTTGACCGCGCAGTGCCCCAAATTTGCAGTAAGAGGACCGACCAAGCCTCTTCTTCCATCCCCTGTTACAAAAATCAATGCCGTGTACACGACCACTGATAGGAGACGCGGAAGGTATTAAACTGATCAGAACAATACTAAACACACCACTCCTATCTGGTGTCACACGTGAAGCTTGTTGGCGCCCAGTGCCCCAAATTTGCATTAGAGGACCGACCAAGCCTCTTCTTCCATCCCTGTTACAAAAATCAATGCGTTATTACCGTCCACTGATAGGACAGCGGAAGGGTATTAAACTGATAAAAATAGTACTAAACACACCACTACTATCTGGTGTCACGTGGCTTGACAGCGCAGTGCCCCAAATTTAATGTGATCTGTGAGTAAGGTAGCGGTTGTCCATACAAGTAGGTTACGCTTTTTTTGAGGGCCCACACACCACACCATGCACTCCTTTTCAATGGCAGTGAATATACTTAAGCTGTGCAAAGTTCTGACTTAGATAAAATCAATGCGTATACCGTCCACTGATAGGAGCGGAAGGTATTAAACTGATCAGAACAATACTAAACACACCACAAATAGGTTTCCTGCTCTCCTGTATGGCTCCTCAAGCGTGCTTAGATTAGCGGCTGAAAAGCATTTCTCACACTCCGAACAAAAATATATATTTTTAACATTCTCTCCACTTTGAACGAAATGGACGCTTGGGAAGAGATTAACATAATTAAACACAGGCAGTAAAAATACAGTTTTTAGCCATACACTGTAACTTTAAAACTACACATCCCATCTTCATAATTACATATTTGGAATCAGCACACTTAAAACATAAACATAACCAAAAATCAGCCAAATCCATCCAGGGGTTAAAAAGTTAGCTGGAGGTCCCTTTATGACCGACCGCAAGCACATTTTCCTGCCCAAAACAGTTCCATAGATTTGGGCTGTGAGGTCGGTCTATTTCAGGCTGAAAAAACGACTAAGTCCCATCGCGAATGGGACTTAGTCTCTGCAGCTGAAATAAGGCTGAAAAAAACGGCTGAAAAAAAGACTAAGTCCCATCGCCGAATGGGACTTAGTCTCTGCAGCTGAAATAATTTCCCATTTACTGAACCAAGTGGGAAATAGCAAGGCAGGCACAAAGGGTTTGCACCAGGTCTGGGGACACAGGGGACACCGTCTTAAAGGGGCCGTGTCCCCAACAAGTCTGGGGACACGGCCTTAAAGGGGCAGTGTCCCAATCTTCCTGATGTCCCAAAAAAGGTGTTTAAAGGGCCAGCACCAGTCACATAAAGAGTCCATAAGCCCCAATATGCCCACCGACAGTCTTAAAGGGCCATACACACCAAATAAAAGTGCATACATTTTCACAATCTCCCAGGGGCCATAGTCATGCGGGAGGAGGCTGGCAAATAGGCTTCTCCACAACCCAGGGAAGCAGGGCAATTTGCCATTTAAAGGGCCCGTTACAAATGCCGCTCTACAAATGGTGAGGCCAGAACAAGTACAGGTGATAGTAGATTGGATGACTGACAGTGCCTCCAGTTCCTGCACATTGACTCCCAC